AATAAAGCTCCATCAGAAGGAGAAAGCGTAGGAGGGAGTCTTTGCTAGGCACAGATACAGGGAAGTGGATGTAAATGGAACCAACATGCAAGACAGAAGCCTTTCTGGCTTCAAGTGGACAATAAGAAAATGCTCAAGGGGTAGCATGAGTTTTCCAGGGTGGGTTTGCTCTGTTCTGCCTCCTCACTCCCACCGCCGAGCCTCAAAGCCCCTGTAGTTCTATTTGCCAGGACACGGTAGGATAAAGGAGGTAATAAGCCCTGCAGGGCCGCAGAAAATCATTCACAGCTACAAGCTTGGGCATCATCTTTCTTGCATGTCTGCTGTTCTTGTTGTTTGACTTATCCTTTCAAAGAGAAAACTGACAATGCTGAGTCTGTGGCCACTCTGTAAAAGACAGCCATGGGATGCGCTCCAACCTCGTGATAGCACAGAGGTATGTATCTCCCCTCCTAAGGGTGCTGGCCCCATGATGCCAAGAGCTGCTTTCTGTGCCCGCAAGGAGGCAAATGTGGAGGACTGGAAAAGGGACTCTGTTGAATGGAAAGTTAATTAACACTGGCTTATCGCAGGAAGTTATTAATCAGCATATTGGACATGCCACAGAGCAACAGTCTTGAGTTAGAAAACTTGCTGAGAAGTTGCACCGTTCTCTCGAGTCCAGCCTCACATCACTGGGTTTCTGGATGCTGCACCAGGGTAGCCCTTCCTATCTCTAGATGTAAGATAATTGCATTGCCTCAGAGATGCTCATGAGAGCGGCTCTCTGATCCCTGCCATTTCTCCCCTAGCTTCACCTTTACCCACTTACTGTAAGAGATTGCCACCAGTGGCTTTTGTAGTCCAATTTCTGAGGCCAGTTTATTAAGAAAAAGCTGAAAAGCAGAGGTCAGGGGTGATGCCCTTAGAAAATTGCTCACCTTGTTTTTGGTATGAGCAGAATGACTTTCCGTGGCTGTCTGCCTGTATCTCTCACCTGCTAGGAACTGAGTTACTTGTAAAAGAAGAAAGTTGTTACAGAGGAGTTTTATGTTAGTGTCTCAAGACTTTATTTTGTTGGGGAGTGTGGCTACTTGATTTTAAAACCATTTCGGTGTCAGTGCTGGTATGGATGCAAATCAGGTCATTTTATTCATCCTCCTGGGCAAGAAGTGCTACTTTTGAAGGATAACACTTGACGTATTTGTGTGGTTCTGCTAAGAATGCAGAAGATAGACAACCTTACCAGAAGTTGAATATTTGCAACTGAAACCTGTCTCCAGCATCTGAATCGCTCTGGGGCATCTGGAGCATTTTATTGGAAACACACTTTGGAACTGGCTCAAGAAGGGGACAGGCTTGGCGCTCTTCACCAGACACTCAATGATTCCCCTCCAGAGGCCCAGGCCACACTAGCAACAGGTTAGATCAGAATCTCTGGGGATGGGATGGAGGCACAGCAGTTTGTAGATCTCCCCAGGTGATTCCAAGTCACTCAAGTTAGAAAACGCTCCTTGAAGAAACAGAAGGAAGCTGCGTTGAGTTTTTGTGGTTCCAAACAGTCATTTTACACTCTATCAAGGTAGATTGACTGTGGCCAGCTCCCATCCAGGTTCCCCTAGAGAAGAGAGGGACACAGATGTGTTTTCTTAGCTTCAAAGCAGAAGAGGCCCTCCTCCTCTGGGCCTATTGGAGTGCAGGAGGAAATGCAGTAAGAATAGGGGCCTCCTTCATTGACACACTTTGTAAGAAGATGTTGCCGTGCATGCATGCGGAGGGTGGTTGGATCTGTTGAAAACAGGATTCTGCCCCACTTTTTTGTGGAAAAAAACTTTACAGAGCCTGATGACACCTGCATGTTCAAGGAGAAGTCAGCATGGTCTAGTTTTGACCCCAGTAGGATCCCTTTGGTACCTCTGCTTTCACCCTGTACTCACTAACTCATGATGACAAAATGCCTATCGACTTCAAAGACTTTCCTGAAGGTTTCAGGGAGAGACAGATAGGATATGAAGATCACAGCCCCCACCCCACAGCAAACTTACTCAAAACTTATTTAAACTTTCTCCATCAGACATTTTAATTTTCCTTCCAAATTCAAAGCTCCTGTCTGCAAAAACCTCTTCTGCTGTTCAGAGCAATGGTGGTGTGCCCTTCTGCCTTCATTCTCCACTCTGCAAAACAGACCCCCAGTAGGAGCTTCATAATACCACCTGTTATTTCTCAAGGGTGGCCTTGCAGGGGAACAGGGACAGTCTCAGCTCATCTGCCATGATGTCTACTAGGAATGTAGAAATATTTGGAAAGCACATGTTCACGGGGATCAAACTTCAGACATTCTGGTCTCCTGCTCTCTGTTTCTGGAACTCCAAAAGCCCACATGTTGTGGACTTCTCACCTGGCGCCTGACTGTCTATGGCCCTGCCTCTCCCTGTGTGAAGCGTTTCCTCAAATGGGCTGCCAGCACCTTGAGGATGTAATCACTCACCTCTTTGCACCCTCCTCAGAGCCTTACTCATACTCAGTAAATACACTTGTTGATATGCCCAGAGAGCACTGAAAACTCCACTGTCTAAAGGTGACATCAAAAGAAACTACAGACAGGAAGAAGGGCGCATAGTATATGAAGTCCAACCAGAAGATGAGTTTCCCCCATGACCCTCCCCAAGAATGAGACTGAATCGCTCCCTGGGTAGCTAAGTACTGACTTACACTTGCTTTGACCCTTGTGGTCCCGGTGGTTGCCTGATGGTTCTTGACTAGCAATGTAATACAAAGAATAAATGAGGAGAATGACAGTAACAGAGGCTCACATTTGTGAGTATTTATAACGTGCTACGCACTGCTCTAGGCGCTCTATGTGTGTTAACCCACTCAGCTCTCGACACACTCCCGAAGACACGTGTTTCACGTTGACCTGAGACACGCAGCTGCTAAGTGATGGGGCTGAACTTCAGACCCAAGTATCCTCAAAGCTCGACATGTTTTCTGACATGCAAAGCAAATTCTGCTTCCCACAAGCTTCCTGGCTAGCTGGAGAAAAAGAAACTGCTGAAGACAGAGCCTTAAGAAGCTAGATAGACAGTTTAGATGACAGAGCTGTGTGAAGGATGCATTGCAGAAGCACTGTAAGTAGACTGACAGAAAGCCTGCTCAGGTATGGATGGAGGCATCTGTGGAGATTCAGAAATTACAAGGCTGGTGTCCGGAAGGGCGGGTGCGGGAAATAACACAGGGCCACAACGTTCAAGAGACCAAAAATAAAACCGAGGGAAACTTCTCCTAGGACATAAATCTGCCCTAGACAGGCGAGGCGGAGGAAAAGAAAGGGCACATCCATTTTCAGGCCTGCACAGGTGCCTCTGACTCAAAGTCAATAAGTGTTCAAGGACAAGAGCAATGATGAATGATCAGGAGATGACCTGTATGTCCAGACGAGATGGGTGGTGCCGGGCGCCATAGGGGATGATGCCAATGTCATATAAGAATGAGATAAGCTCCTTTCTTGGCAGTGACGGAGATTGACTGGTGCATAGACCCTACTTTCTACCCCTCACTTACAGACATCAGTGGACCTGTGTGGGAGTATATCATGAGCTCAGACGTGAAAGCTGAAGCAGAAGTGATGAGGCTTCTGTGTTCTGGATCCCAGAAGGGACCAGATGTAATTCCAAAGGGATGCCCTACCTGACCTTTGCTCTCTGACCTTGTTATGAACTTATATAAAAAGTAAAGTGGTAGACTCACTAAAAACTCTCTCCGTGTACCAGAGGTTGAAGCGTGTGTTAGTGTGTCCTCACCTGGGTGAGGTTGAATGAGCCATATCAGGGATATCCTTGACCTGCACACTGGATCCAGCAGGAAGCTGGGTCTTTGTGCCTCAGCCTTCCAGGTCTGTGTCCGCATGTTGTACTCAAAGACACAAAGAGCAAACAATAATTGAAAAGCAATGTAAATCTTCACTGAAGTCTCTTGAAAACACTGAAAGGGAGGTCCATTTGTGCTTCTCAGTAATGTTTCTCAAAATCTTTTCATGTATCACACCTGTGATAGCTGACCCAAAGATCTCCTAGCGCCCTTTCTTTCAATCTTCCCCAAATTTTATTAAATCGAGCCTGTAAAATTCTCATCTTTCTTTCCCTCCTATTGAACTTTCTCTTTTCTGTAACTGTGTGTCCTGTCCATCGTCCTCCAAGCTAGCGGCCCCAGCTAATCTGGTTCCTGACCACATCCATGTTACTCATGTCAATAATTAAGGCCTGGAAGCCACGGCTCCAATAAGTTCTCCTTTGGGATAGAAGGAGGGTGTCAGAGCTATCAAATGCATTTCTATACCCTAGGAATTTTCTTTCCTTTCCAAATAAGATTAATGGGCTCCCCCTCCCCCTTCCTATTTTATGAGTAGAAATGATTTGTTTTAGGCCTGACCCAAATCCTTAAGGTAAGTTGGCCTTGAAGCAAAGCTGATTCTACCTGCCACACACTAGCTCACTGATTCCCCGAATCCAGGGGCCGGGCACCTCAGACTCATATGGACAGCTTGTTAAATAGCACAGACTCTTGGCCTCTCTCCGGATCTCCTAAGTCAGGACATGGTGAACAGACTCAAGAAATCTCTTTTTTTAACAAGCTCATCAGGTAATTCTGATAATGGCTATATTTGAGAATCTACTTTCACCTAATTAATAAAAGTCTGAAGTATACAGACTTTTATATGTATTTATTTGTATATAAGCTTGTGTCTGTAAAATACATTCTTAAGAGACCATGCAGCTGACCTTGGGGGCATGGGCTGTGGGCAGAAGGCAGAGAAAATGTGGGGATCCAGGGGGACAGACACCAGCAGGGTTGGATCCAACGTATTTCACATAATCTGCCCACATGTATCTGACTACTTGTAAAATGTTAATGGCAATCTAACAGATTAGCAGTAAGCAAACTTACATTTTGTTTATTGCCAGGACTCAAAGAATGCTATCAGTTATATCTAAATGTCTGTTTTTATGTTCTGTCATTTCCAGGCACAAAAAGTAACTCGAACAAATCCCAAGGCATAAGGAAATGGGCCTCATTCTCTAGGACTCTGCGGCATTGGAAATGAAGCTAAGAAGACTTTATTACATCCTACAATTCTGCAACCTTTTGCGAAGCATTTTATTACACTTGTGGAAGGCATGAGGGTTATATTTCAATCACGATGACTGACAGGCTAACTTTAAAACAACGGCATCGACAGCCCTTCCACGCTGCCTTGGCTGTGTACTTAGAATAGAACCTTGTCTAAATTGTCCCTTGGCCTGGATGGAAATAAAATGGTAGTTAAAATATTTATCTGTGTGTTGGCTCACTTAAAAATTGATATTCTGAAGGCCCTGAAAGGTACAACTGAGGAAGTTGATCTCCTAGAAGTACTGTGCTTCCTGTTGACCAAAGGTTTGTTAAGGCTGAAATAAGATTTAGAGAGTTTTCACCTTGGTAGGTAAGATAATAGAACTAGAAATGTACCACCTTTGCTCCATTATATTCCCCTCCTGCCTTGGGTGCAGAGAGGCAGAGCTGAAAGAGCTTAAGGTGGCAAAATTAGCTTCAGGAAACCAATAAACACATAATGTGGTGATGGGACACCTGGGACTGAGCCTTTTGAGTGGTAGGAATGCAAGGAAAGGGAAGGGAAAAGCTCTCAATGTTGGTTTGGAAAGCATGCCCCTTACCCATAATAGTCAATTTCTTTAAGGAAGGATGACAGAAGTAGGCTCTTTCTTTCCTCTGCTATATTAATAAAAGGTACGATTAGAGTTTATAGAGAAAAATAAAACACGTCTATAGCACTGCTACAAAGAACCAAACACAGGGTTTTTCTTGTTTATAAAAGCATCCTTGAGAATCTCTCTTGGCTTATGGGCTACTCCCTGACCCCAACACCATAACCAATGGATGGTGTGTTAGTTTCCCGTGACTGCTACAACAAATTACCACAAATTGGGTGGCTTAAAATGATAGAAATGTGTTCTCTCCCAGGTCTGGAGGCCAGAAGTCCAAAATCCAGCAAGGCTGTGCTCCCTCCAGAGGCTCTGGGGGAATTTCTCCTAGCTGCTACTGGCAATCCTTGGAGTTCATTGGCATCATTTCAATCTCTGCCTCTATCTTCACATTCCTCCTCTGCTCTACGTCTCCCCTCTGTGTATCTCTTATAAGGCCATTTGTCATTAGATTTAGGACCCACCTGGATAATCCAGAATGATGTCCTCAAGATCTTAATATCTTTAACTTAATTATATCTGCAAAGGCACTTTTTCAAAATAAGATAAAAATTGCAGGTTCCAGGGAATGACATGGACATATCTTGGTGGGGGGGGGGGGGGGGGGCGGGTCACCATTCAACCCACCACTTAGGACATTTGGCCTTTGTTTCTGATTCAGTATAAGCTAACAGACTGAGTGTGACTGCATTGCGTCTTGTTTCAAATCTTCTTCTATGTCTTTGCCAAAGCCCTACTTATTGACAATGATTGGCAACACCTTCTTGAGACTGGGAAGCCCTCTGGTTCCCAAGCCTAGTCTGGGATGCTCCTTTCTTAGCTGAAGGTAAAAAGCCCTGCTATCTCAATAGGATGTGTTCAGAAGATAAAATGCCAATGAGGAAAATGGCAAGTAGTGATCATTTTCCCCAGCTCAAGAGTTGCTGATTTGTAGTCCAAAAACGTGCCCTAAAAATTCCAATTCTTCTTATCCCAGTGGGTCAAATACTGATTCCATCTCAGTTTTAATAGCGAATGTCACCCGAAGGCCTGGCCCTTGCCTTTGGGGCTAATTCCAGATTTTACCCATTGGCTTTCAAAGGAGTGAATAAATACTTAGTCACCGATGAAACAGTTGGTTGAGTCACGCTGCAAGTCTACCTGCAGTTTTCTTTCTGTTTTGTCTGTGTGAGTAAAGGAGCCTCATTTCTGCCTGTCTTCCCATGGATTTCCTCCGTTCAGTGTCTTCCTGTAATTCTGCCATGGTCTGGAGGCTGTGGAGGCTGTGGATGCAGAAAGCCAGCCCTGAAGCTCTGCTGCCATGCCAGCCCCGTGAGTCCCTGCTTAGCTGGAAGGCATGATAACCCAACAAGGACTGTTTTCAATGCCTTTTAAGAAATGCTTCAAGAACTAATAAAGCTTACTGATACCAATATGAGAAAAACCAACTACTACTCCATTTGCTAAGGTGGGTCTGGTCTGCATTGAGAAAAACAAAAGGCAGTGGAGAACAATGCTCGTCAAAATAAATGTCCCTGGTAGTAGGCATCTTTTTCTCTCTGATTTCTTCTTGGGCACAAATACCCACTACATTGTTTCCGTTTTTCTCAAGAGTTAGAGAGTTGATAATTTTATAGCAAAAAATAGATGATCGTAGGTGTGTATGGGGGTCCATTTCCATTATTGTGCTTGTCAGACAAAAACAGCAGAGCAGCCACTGTCTATATTGACAACATCCTGGAGGAAGACGTCTTCTGTTTATCTTTGTGTACTCACTTTTCAAACTCAAGGCCCGTTCCTTATCTTTATTGTTCCACCTAAAATTCAAATCCAAACGGTGGAAGAGAATGATGTTCTATTTTTGGCAAGGAGGTTGAAAGGACCTTTCCCCATGATTGTCTTCACTACAGCTGACCCAAGAATATAGAACAATACTCCTGAAATCCTATCAGTTCTTTCAGATGGTGAGAAGGAGCTGCATGTCTCACTGAGCAGAAATCTGTCCCCATCCACCCTTCTCTGGATCAAAGGTTGAAACTAAGGTCTGGGCATGGACTTACTTCTTCCAATGGTCTGTATTGAATGTACCCACCCAACATGCCAGTGAAAGAAGGAAATGAGCTTTTTTGTGTATTTATTACAGATACACTTGCAAATGTTATTTTATTGAATCCACTCAAGATTCCTCTATAAGATACGTGGAAATTTAGGCTCAGAAAGGTTAGGTGACTTGTTCAAGGTCACAAAGTTGATTTGTGGATTTGAGATCAACTCAGGTATGAGTCCCCAAATCTATGCTCTTTGGGAAAAAATTGATAACCAAGGACTCTCAGCAAATTTAATAAATATCATTCCCAGTTTCTCTCCTGAGCTGTCTACTGAGTTGGCAGGTTGGGCCTTTGTAGTGATGTTCAAAGGGAAAGGGGAAGGGGCACTTAAGGAAAGACAGGGAATATCCAGACATTCTCAAGGTGAAAGCATCCCTTTAATCATGTAAATGAAGTGAACTAATGGCATTTCTATAACTTAATAACACATGGGAAGGGTGTTACTAAAAATGCTTACTATGACTGTGAGGCAAATGTGTTAACCAAAAGGTTAATGATTACCTATCTGAGAAATAAAACAACATAAAATCATTAGCATGTAATTACTTAATTATAGGGATTGAAAATAGGTCAGTCCTACTTGAAAACACCACCGACAACAACCCTCAAGCATGGTCACACTCTTGCAGTTCATTTCAGCTCTGAAAACACCTTGATCACCTACTATGCATCAATTCAATGGCTATGGGCTCAGCAGCCTAAAGTGAGGTGGCCCCTAAGGTGGAAAGTGGAGTACCTGTGGACGGCAGAGGGAGGAGGAAGAGGAGGAGCAGAGCGAGTTTCATCAAGAACATAGCCCCATTCTAGGCACCCAGGAGATTTTTTTCTGAATCCATTCTTCTTCTTTCTCCTCCTTCTCCTCTTCATCATCATGATGATAGATGCTATTTACAGAATATCTTTGGGGCCAGCCTGGTGGTGCAGAGGTTAAGTGCGCATGTTCCACTTTGGCAGCCCGGGGTTCGCTGGTTCAGATCCCAGGTGAGGACATGGCACCGCCTGGTAAGCCATGCTGTGGTAGACGTCCCACATATAAAGTAGAGGAATATGGGCACAGATGTTACTCAGGGCCAGTCTTCCTCAGCAAAAAGAGGAGGATTGACAGCAGATGTTAGCTTAGAGCTAATCTTCCTCAAAAAAAAAAAAAAAGAATATCTTTATACCAAGCATTATGCTAGGCATTTTCAAAGCATTATTTTATATAAGCCTCACGAAGAAATCAGTCTTCCTTTGTTACTTTCTACCTTCTTTTTTATTTTATTTAACAAATATTTATTCAACATATATTATGTGATAAGTATTGTATGTACTAGGTGCCAGTGCTACAATGCTGAGCAAAAACATCTGGAAGTAACTATTATCCTCCTTCTGTAGACAAGGAAGCTGAAGTATAGAGAGTTTGTGACTTGCTTAAGTTCAAAGAACGCATGTCTGTGTGCTGAAGCCTGGGTCTCTCTCCCCTAAGCCCAGCTGTTTCTCAGAAGGTAGAATGAGAGGGTGCAGTAAATGCTCTATGGGCTACCTCCTGGTTTTCTCTACAGACCAGACCCAATAAACACACCTACTTTCTCCAGATCAAAATTGGCTGGGAAAACTCAATCTAAGCCACTAAGTTTCAATCTTTGTCAATTTAGTGAGCATGTACTAAGTACCCCTGATACCGACCCTGATATCAGTTTCCCCACATTAAACGCAGCATATATGGGGTTAAAACCAAAACACTCATTCCCTGCTTACTCTCTGGCTTCCTGGCTCCAGAATCCACTATCCTCCATGGAGACAGACACCACCAAGGACAAGCACCTGGATTTGTTATCTCCTTCCTGCAAAGAGATACAGGCCAGTGGGAAAGCTGCTGACCAGTAAGGTCACAGGCTTCCTCCTCTCTGCAAGTAGTCTCAAGGCCAAAGACAGGCTGGTGGGAAAGCTCCGACCAGCAAGGCCATATGCTCCCCCTCCCCTACCTAAAACCCCAAATAAAAACCCTTCCTTTTAGTTTTTCGGGGAGTTTGGGAATTCAGCATTAGCTGCCCTCTCTCCTTGCTCAGCACTGCACAAAAATAAAATTCCTGCTTTCTTCCACCACACCCGGTGTCAGAGATTGGCTTGCTGTGCAACGAGTGAGCGAACTCACTTCAGGTTCGTTATCACCCCGCCATGTGTCCATTGTAGGGGGGCTCTCTGAGAGCAATTTCCTGTACTCTGTGTTTTCCCCTGGAAATGCCCTGCTGTCTGTCCTCTCACTTTTGGTCACTTTCTGAGCATTCTGTCCAGTCACCTGAGGTGACTATCTCCCTATCCGATGCTGTTCTTAAGGCAGGATCTGGAATAATACTGTCAGATTCCAAATGAGCCCTCTGCTGCTGGTCTTCGGTCACACTTTAGTAAACTAACTTCCCATCCAGTTTGCTCAAGTCTTCAGTCACTCATTCTTAGGGTTTTCTATTCTGCCTCTCCCCTTTTTCTCCTCCTTCCCTCTTTTT